GGCCCCCATGTTCATGCTGGACCTCTACAATGCCATGTCCGTGGAGGAGGGGGCGGCGGGGGCCGCTGCTGAGGAAGGCGAGGGCTTCTCCTACCCCTACAAGCCCATCTTCAGCACCCAGGGGCCGCCCCTGGCCAGCCTGCAGGACAGCAACTTCCTCACCGAGGCTGACATGGTCATGAGCTTCGTCAACTTGGGTGAGTACTCGCCCTTGGTGAGGCTGGATCCGGGATGACCAGGCTAGGGGAGACTGGAGCAGGGTCTTGGCCACCAACCCTGACCACCCTGGCAGGGGCTGGTGGTGCAGGTGGCCCTGGTAAGGAGCTGTTTTGGCAGTGGGACAGATGGGTGGCAGTCCACTTGGGCGAGGAGTGGCCCTTGGAAAGGTGCTGCTTTGCAAGGTGATAGTTAAATGGCAGACCATGTGGAGAGGGCTCTGACTGCGTATCACAGCATTTGGACAGCCACAAGCCCTCACCATGTTCCGCCCTGCACACCAACATGCTAAGTACTTTGTTGTCTTCTCCCTTTGATAGCTGCTTGCCACACCTCAGAAATCGCATTTGCAGGTAGGAGTTGAACAGGAAAATGAACGAGTCTGATCTGCATCCTGCCCCACGGAGGACAATGCGAAACTCAGCCGTGACTGTGGGGCCCAGCGTGGCTCCCGGTGCCGGGCTGCACTCATGTGGGATGCTTAGCCAGATCCTTGTGGCATCCCAGCTGCCGCGCTCCCTCGGCCAAAGGGGCCGAGCTCCTTGCGTGTCTTTTCCTAATGGCTTGGGAGGGATTCCACAGTAAATCCTTATTTACTGCTGCAGTTTTTTTGGTTGACCTCGGTTTGCGCAGCTAACTCGCCTCTTGTCACAAGCACATGTGGATGGGCTTATGCAAATGATATGAAAGTTGGCATGCTGTGAATGCGGCTTGCAGGGCCTCCCTAATTGGATGCCATGGCCCAATCTGATTTCTATTTGCTTGTTGTAGATTGCACACCTGTGTGGACTCACTTGGCCAGATTCAAGTAAAACATTGTTGGGATGAGCATTCTATTTTAAATATATAATTACAGACCTGGTGCACTCTCTCTGTTTTTAGACCTCATCATGTGCAGCTCTGAAACCACCGCACGTACAGATTGGGTGCCTGCAAGTTCAAGACAGAGTCTCAATAGTATTTCCAAAACAAGAGCAACTCAAACTTTGTCCCAAACAAAGGGACAGGCCAAGAGCAAGAGGAACCCACCTCTGGCGCATAACCCGCTAGGGATTATGGACACCCCCATTGCCAGTAAATCCATTAACACCTTTGTGGATGTCACTGTTCTGGACATTTCCACTGTCTGGAACTTAAGAGGCAACAAAGATTAAATCACCACCTCTCTAATCCCAGCGCTTTAACTAACTGAAAAAGATGAGTAGTTGTAAAGGCTCTGTGCCACACATTAATAATTATTAGGCGTGATAGCCATTGCGGCACAGTTCTTGTGTGATGGGGAGACACAGGGCGCTGTGGGAGATCTCCAGTTTGCATAAGCTGCACCTCCTCGTTAACCACCATGAACTTCCCAGTGGGAAGCTCTGAATTACATCTGGCCTGGGGGCTCTGGTACTTTCCATTTGGAATTACAGTGTTTGTCTAATTGCTGCTAGATACTTAAGCTGATCAGCAATGGTACATTTCAAATCAAATATTTGAGCAGCCAAAAGTACCACTGGCAGTCAAATATTTGACTTTAGAGATAAGAGTGATCTTGCTAACATTGTTCTCTGTGGTTCTGGAGTCCTACACTGTGTACAGACAGAGCGCAGGGAGAGTCCCAAACTGGAGACGAGATGTTGAAATAGCGATAGTGAAATTTACGCTTCTCTTTCCATTTTGGTAGCGAGGAGAAAACCTTTATGAAACGTGTAAGTCCCTAATGGAAGGGAGTTTAGCTCTGGGGAAGCAGCTCTGCTCCTCAGGTGCAGTTATTTACTGCAGAACTTTCGTCAGTGAAACTGCTGTGCTCCCCTCCTATGCTTCCTATGTAAGGATAAGTCACGTCTGTAGCACATGAAAGTTTTACAAGAAACGAATTAATGTTCAGATCACCAATTATTTTGAATAAAAAGGAATAGAATCGATCCATAAACTGTGAAATAAAGGTTACATTTTGGATAGGTTTGTTTCTACATGAGAACATTTTATAGAGCAAGTTATACCTGTATAAACTGTATGTAATCAGTAATTGATGTCCCAATGTGATGTGATGACTACAGCGGATATATTCATTCATTGTGACCTGCTGGGTTCTGTAGGCTGCTTAGAAATCTAAAAGCGTTCTTTCTGCAAAAAAATACTTAACTATCATTTTATTTAATTGCTGTCAGTATGATCGGTGAGTAGTAAGAGTGCAGCCAAAATCCAGTAGTCGTAAGGACAGGTGGAACGATTACCGGCGAGGCACATTTTGGAGGTTTGTCTGCACTGTTTTGTTCCCTTGTCAACAGTGCATGCCAGGACGAGTTGAAAAAGGACATAGATCTATAAGAGCTTTCTTCATCACTGTGCACACCTTTCATCCCATTATAGTCATTGCTCTTTCATCTTTACAGGACAAAGACGGGCTTGTTTATGGACGTTTTAAGGAATTAGACCAGCCACTCACTCCTGTATATAGTCAAATACAACACCTGCTTTGATACATACAGTTTTCTATGGCATTCAGGGAAAATTAGAAGATCTATTGTGGCACTGATATTTTTTTGGAGACTTTCTACAATGATCCCTTTTAAAGGAGAGCTGAATTGCTAAATGCAGACTGTAGTAAACTGTCCTAGTTTTGTAAGAGATCCTCTGTGAGCATTGCATTTCACAGGTAGGCTTTTATTACCATACTAGAGCTGTCACAATGAGGAAGTGTCACAGCGTAATAAAGTCTCATCTTAGAATGGAGGAAGTAAAAGTGAATAAAGAAATAATACTTTTAAATTTCAGTAAATAAAACATGTTATTCCAGGCTTCCAAATGCTAATTTACAAAACCACTTTTTTGCTTTATTCATATTCTTCATCTATCTAGTTACACAACTTTAGAGAAAAAAAAAATTGAAAGTATTTGCAGTGCAAGATTTACTGGGCTGCATAGTAAAAAATCCAACAACAAACCCCCCCACGTTGCTTTCTATGGAGATACTGTGTATATTTATTCCAGAGAATTTATAGTAGGTAGGGAGGAACCAGAATACAGGTGCTTCATTTCAGGGTTATGTTGCAGGGAGCTTTGTACTAAGCATGTAATGTTACTGTAAAATCTTGACAATTAATTAGATTTAGTTTTATAACCAGTTAATTCACTGGCCACATTTTGTCTTAGCTTACACCTGTGCTAAGATGGATGGGGAATGGATTTGTGTCAAGAATGAAGTTACACGTAAATTAAAAGATAATTTAGCCACAGTGGTCTGACTAAGTTAGTTAATTACTGGCTAATTTTATAACATTTATTACTATAGTTCCAGTCTTTGGAATTTCATTTCAGATCCCGTCCAAGTACAGTTTACAAGCTGATCCATTTTAGGAACTGAAAAAACGCAAAGCATTTCTTGCACAAGTTTAATTTTGAGTTTATAAACAGCAACTAAGGAGTAAACATCCTCTAGATTACTTAGACCCTCTCTTCTAAAAATAATTGAGTTGTCCTATGTGGGTAATCTTGCCTCGGTAAACAGACTTGCTTAGAATATTTTTTAAAAGAGTCGGCACAAGCGATACGCAATTTGTTAATTTGTCTGGTGGTTGATTATAAAATGAACAACATTGTTTAATCCTGGCAAAAAATAAGGGGGGGGGGAATTAGTCATTCTTGGAAGGAGCACATGAAAGTGGCTTTTGTTAATGTAAATCAAGAAGCTGAAGAGCCCCCAAGTTTCCTTTTATTTCATACCATCTGGCTATCCTTTTTGTTGACAAGTGTTTGGCATCGAGAACCATCTCTTTGCCCTTTAATAACAGGCTTTAACACTGCAGGGTATTAGAAAAAGATTCTATAACAGTTAAAAAATTTCCTTCAGGGAATACTTTATAAAGTGAGCACGGGCTGCAGGCATTTGCAGCTGTAACCTGGCTTGTGTTAAAATTTGGAAGGGGCTGCCTCGCATTCCAGCTCACTACAGGCCTTCCTTGGTGTACAGCCAAAGGTTAATATAGATGTCACACAGTTTTTCTTTGGAGAGCCTCAGATATAAGAGTACGCGTACAGCTGTGTTTTTAGTAACCCTTTCATAATCACTTCTTTTAAACCTCATTTTCCTGCTTATATAAATCAAAGATTTTCAAGGATATTTGACCTGGATTTGAACTTATTTGATCTTCACATATTTCCCACTTGAAACAAAGCAGATTAAATGTTAGCCCTGGATGCCTGGTCACGATCACATGCTCTGGCCATACATTAGGCCAAGCCCTGGCTTTCTTTTTTTTTCTTTCTTCTCCACCTAATGCTGTTATAAGCTCTCAAGCCTGAACAGGTACATCCTCAAATTCTTTTGGGCGGTATGGATATATGCGACACTTGGTGGTATAAGATCAGCTAGGGTAGAAAACTTACAGAAAACTTGAAGTATTAAGTTCGCTGGCAGCACAGCAAGCAACCGGCGAGTATTGTTTGAATGTACAGCCCTGTTCTAGAGAGAAATTAATTAATTTTCTAATTTCCTGGTGCAAAATGGCAGAACAGAACAGGAACTATTTACTTCTGCCACAGGGGTGTGGTGGTAGCAGAGAGGATGGATGTCCTGTGCAAGGAAAAAGCAGATGGAAATTGTCCCCGTCCACTCGCACGCTTCTGTGGCAGATTTTTCCTGGAGATAGGGTCTCTCCGATCCCACACAGGCTGTCCTGGGGAGGGGAAGCCCCTCCGGGAACTGGAGTTTAAAAGCCAAAACACAGGGGCTTGTGAAGTGCTTTGAAAGAGCCAAGCCTTGATGACAGGATCTTGTGATGCTTGAAATGAGCGGTGGGCACCGGTGAAGCGTACAGGACCGGCTCCCACCCCAGCCCCGTTTGCCATCGCCTTCTCAAGCTGCGTGCGCGCGTGTGCATCCCCTGTCGCTCCTTTTGCAGGAGATTTAATGGCCTCTGGGCAGGCAGCATGAAACCAGGCATTACGTTTTTGTCTGTAAATAAGCTCAAAACACATTTTCGGGTAGAGGGGG